CGGAAGCTAACTTGAAGCTCGGGTTGACCTTCTTGTATGCTGCGTGGGAGCTCTGTGCCCGAATAGTGCAGCTGTTGCCATTGTAACGGCTGCAAGTGGAACCTTGCTTGAATGCAATGTACTTGCACTCCGACTCCATGTCACAGGCAGTCTTGCAATTGCCCAAGCTGTCCTTGTTGCTGTTGCTCTCCCAGCCAGCATAGTAGCCGTCCTCGCAAAAGCCGGCGCCCAACCACATATACGGCAGGTCCTTCTTCTTGTAAATGCTGTAAGGCCAAAGGCCAAGGGAGAAGCAGCTGTCTGTGTCATAGCGGCTGCAGGTTTGACCCTGCAGAAAGCTGAAGAACTTGCACCTGTCTTCTAAGTTGCATGCCCTCATGCAGTTCTCGAGGCTGTCGCGGTTGCTGTTTTCCTCCCAGCCAGCGTAGTAGCCAAACATGCACCAGCCATACGTCGAAAACTCGTAGTCTTGGGCGAAACCGGTCGTTCCCATGGATGCGGCCACCAGGGACTGCTCGCCCTGGTTCTCTTGCAGGCCTGAACGGACGCACAAGCCAACCAAACTTCAATAAGGCGAGACCCGCCACTTTAGCCAGGAGGCTGGAGTGATTGGAGCTGCACCAGGTACCCGCATGCTCGGAACATACGGCTGGGGTCAACGCCTGTAGTTGCAAACTATGGAAGCAGGCCCCCAGAACAACGCAGCCATTGCTGCACTCTGAACAGGTCACATTGGCGCTGGCTTCGTTCTTCCTAAGATGCACAGACCCGGGACAAAGCACCCTGTGAAATAAACGCGCAAGCCCTGGAATGGAATGGACCTGGAATGGAAATGGAAACGAATGAAAGGAACGGAAAGGACATGGAAGGACATGGCAAGGAAATGAAAAGGAAACTCGCCGCTTCAAAGTTCTTGGCACGGAGAATTGCGAAACGAGCACTTGTTCGGCCGGGCTGGCCCTGGGCACTTCTAATCAGGAATGGAAAGGGAAGGAAGGAAATGGAAAGGAAATGGAGAGAAATGAAAAGAAACGGAAAGGATATGAAAAACGGACACGGAAAGGAATGGAAAGAACATGGAGAGGACATGGGAACGAAATCGAAAGGAAATGGAAAGAACCAATGAATAGGAAAGGACATAGAAAAAACGTGGAATGTCATTGAAAAGGAAATGAAAGTAAATGGAAGAGAAAAAACAAGAAACGCACAGGGATTGGAAAGGAACTAAAATTGAAGTGGAAAGGACCAATGCAAGGGAACAAAAGGACATGGAAAGAAATAGAAAGAAAAATCAAAATGTTCCAGTCGGAGTCGGGGCTTAATAGGTGCACGTGTCATAATTGTCCAGTAAAGACTTCATTCCAAGGCATTCCATTCCATTTCCCTTTTTATGTCGCCTTGTTTCTTTCAACCTCCTTTCATGTTTTGTCTTATTCCTTGCAGTCCTTTTTAAGTCTTTCTACCTACACGTGCCCAAGGTCATCTGGGGCCGGAAAAGCACTTATCTCGCAATTGCCCGCGTCCACATCGCCGGATTTCCTTTCCATGTCCTGTCCATTCCTGGCTCGAGGTGTCAAAGGTCCGGGCGAAAAAAAAGAGCGTTGTAACAAAAAGGTGGCGAGTATCCTTGCAGGTCTGTCCATCTCCTTTCCGTTCCTTCCTATGTCACTTTCATTCCTTTGCATGTCAATTCCGTTCAATTCCATTCCTATCCATTCCTATCTATTCCTTTCCACTTTCTTCCTAGCTAGAAGTGCCCAATGCCAGCCGGGCCGAGAAAGCGCTCGTCAATGTCCCGCGTAAGAATTTTGAAGCGGCGAGCTTCCTTTCCATTTCCTCATATGTTCTTTTCATGCTCTTTCCAGTCCTTTCCATGCCCTTTCATTCTTTTCCTTCTAGAATAACATTGTACATACCCCCCCGCCTCTCACGCGCACTGTCAGCACCCAGCTGCTGGCGCTCAAAGTGGTCGATGAGATTCTGACAATCCTCGCTGCTGGCGTGGCTGACGATGAAGGACTGGATGTCCACGCACGCCCAGTCAGTGCCGTTGTCGCCCACCAAAACCTTCTCGGCATCCAGATCTCCAAAGATGCAAAGAGCGCTGCAACCCGCATGCTCCTCTATCGGGTCGGGATGGGCAGCCACTCGCTTCGAGGCCTGGCATCGAGGGCTTCGAACGGTTCGGTCAGGCGCGGGCCTGAGAGCCCTGAGAGCCCTGAGAGCCGAGCCGAGTAACCCTGCGCCTGCAAGAGTGACGGGCACGAAGGCTGGGAGGACACGAAGGACACGGAGGACACGGAGGACACGGAGGACACGAGGCTGAGAGGCGCCAGTGCCGCCAGGATGTATATGCCAAGCATGGCGATCGGTAAGGCAAAGCCGGAAGGTGACGAGAGAAAGCTATGCGATTGAGCCAACTGATGAGCAAATGCAGCATCTGGACTCGCAGCGCTAGCATCACTAGCACCAGTACAGCTGTGCTCAAGTACAAACAAGAGTATGCATTGCCTGAGAGTACAAGGGTCCCCTACCATGGCTGGTCGTTTGCTTGCGCCCACCTCCGGCGAGCTGCATGAAGACCAGGTGCTCCGGATCTCTGCAGCCTGGCGGAATGAATCAACTCAAACCCCATTGAGTTTAGGCTCTACTATGGTTAACGAAGATGTTTCTGGTTGGCCGTGTTGAGCCCTTTTGGCCAATGTCTAAGATCAGCCCTCGTGGCAAAGCTTGGGGAAAACGACAAGGTACCCGCGCCTCCAGGCCTGGCGCAGGCGAGAGCAAATCAGTACACCTCAAAAACGCAAGGGGAAACTCGAAAACGGGAAAAATCCAGAAGATTCTGCAGGGCTTCCCTTAGCCAGGCGAGCCAAAATAACAGACACAAACCCCGGCCTCGTTCAAGGCCTGGTGCAGCGGCCAAACTGTGAGCCTTCCCAGCCTCAGCTTCAGCCAAGTGATTCTCGATTGAGTGCCTGGGTGGACATCATTAACATAGGGACTTATACCCATTTAAAGTCATAGCCATGTTGGGAATACGTGAACACTAGGACGCATATTCAGGTCCTTTCTCAAAAAAAACACCCTCTCAATGGGGTCACGTGAGCTTGGCAGGCGGGCTGGTTCACATGGAAGAACTTCGCCAGGGCCGCGATCAGCACACCACGTTCCGGAGGGCACGCGCCAAGGGGCTGATCTTAAGGCTGGGGCAAGTAGTTGAGCTCTTGCAGGGGGCGCTGCAAGTGTTCCACCTGCCTGCCCCAGCCCCCGAGACCTTTTGACACCATCTGCACAACTCGGGGAAAGGTTCAAGTGCAGCCCTCAATCCAGAGCACAGCAGCTTGTTCATGAGGCCTCTCTCGGTGAGGCGAGGGCTGCACTTGGCGCACGTCCTGGGCCGAAGAAAATCAAGTGCTTTCACTTGCAGGTCATGTTTGAAGCCAATGCCTGCGTCACCTCGGCAAAGAGGTCAAGGGATGTTGTGTCCAACCGCAGGCCGACCTGCCATCTCACCCTTGACCACACGCAAGGATCATCATCATGATGCTTGAGTCAAGCAATGCAATTATGGAATTGGAGAGGGAACGAATGAGTCTCACATCCCTTCGGAGGACGAAGGCTAAAACTCGACCCCTCGGCTCGACGACAAAACAAATCAATTCTTGTTTGTTTTACCAACCCAATCCAAAGCACGGGGTCAGAGACAAGCACCGTCGAACTGAAAACCATCAGCAAAGGCGTGATCAAGAACTCCTCCTGGCAACAAACAACCCAACGCACGCGTAGAGTACAATCGGGAGATCAATCTCGCTGGAGCAGAAGTTTGTGTGTGTGTGCGTGTTGTCTGGATGACATTCGATGCTCGCAAAGATCTTGAACTTGAGCCTGAGGCTGACTGGATAAAATGGCGATGCAAATCCTGATGCTGAAGCTGGGTGTCCAGGTTTGGCGTTTGGAAATCATGACGATATTGCTGTCATGGGCGTTGACTCTGATGCTTGAGCTCGATAGATGTGCATAGGTTGATGGCGGTGTTGATAATGTTCATCTGTGCTGATGCGCACACCTGGGAAACAATGCCGGTGCCAGCACGGCAAGTAGCTGAAGCAGCGCAGTCGGCTGAGTCGGCTATATTCGAGCTGATGAGCGATTTAGAGATCAACAAAGCAATGAAACGCACCCACCAAAGCTCCAATGGTTTCAAAACCAAAAAGCCCTCACCAGCCTGCAGGCCGCACCGCACCTTGCGTCCGGCCGACCGCCCCGAACCTTGGGGCTCACTTGAGGGTTCCCATTGGGAAGCTAAAGGCAAGAAGGGAAACCACTCATTCACTCCAGCAAATTCAGAGACGAACCTCGCCACAATGGCAATATCTAGCGAATGCGCAGCGACGTTGACCCTGGATTCATCAACAAGGCGGACAAATGGGTCTTTCAGAAAGGGCCAGCCCCCCCCCCCAGTTTCCGAGTAATTAAACTAGGCCTAGGTTCCCATTGTGCAAAAATGTTTTCAACATGCAAGGAAACAAACCGTTTTGAGGGGTGAACCCTGCAGTCGAACCAGCCCACAACTAAAAGGACCTGTAAACCAACCCTCCCGCGTGCTCCCACCTTGTTAGCGTGTCCTCGGGCTTGTTCGGGCAACCCTCTGCAACCATTGCGCAGGTGATGCGAGCTTGACAGGCCGAAACGAGCGCTCCGCAGAGCTGCACTCCGCGTACGAGATGTGCAGCAAGCTGCGCTCTTCCAGCTGCAGCTGGAGAAGTGTCTGTTGTGTTTGCAGGGGTCGCGCTTTGCATCCCTTCAAAACTTGGAGCTGGAAGTCATTCTTGTCGTCAAGTCCCATACTGGACTGGGGTCTAGCCTTCTCTACTTTTCGGCACTTGAGGCGTGCTCGCGGCACAAATTGCACAGGACCGGCTGTGATCCAAGAGTTCTCCAAGAGCCGAATTGTCGCCATCCGCGCCCGTTTTCGCCCCGCTTTCGTGGCTCATAAAGGTTCAGCAGCCGCGCTGGCGCGGGCAGAAAGTTCTGGCATGATGAGGCTTCCAGTTGAGCACTTACTATATATCTGATGTCATGAGTCATTATGAGTCTTATGTCATTATGTTGAAAGCTTCTCTTGCGCGGATCTCTCTCTCTCGCTCTTCCATGGCCGGAGACTCCTGACCTCTCACTCCAGCGCCATCTACCCTTCGGCAGCAGCAGGGTCTCAGATGCTCCTGGCGCTTTTGGCAAGGCTGCCTGAGAACGTGGAGGCCAAGGTGGAACCTCTAAGATCTAAGATCTCAAGGCCTCCATTCATCCCCTCTGCACCCTGTCCTGCGACCTTTGCAGATTTGGCCTCACAGGTCTGCCGCAGAAAAAAAATGCCAAAGGGTGCCAGGCATTGAATAATTATCCACAGCTGCCTGGAGCAAACAAATGGTGGTGCCAGATGGACGCGGTGGTTCATTTCACAAAGCATATCAGGCAGCGTGCCAATTCCCTTTTGCAAACACTCCTGCTCGCCCATCAGGCTAAGGACTAATATGACTAATACAAAAACAATAGCTGGGCAGCTTGCCAAAGGCGTCGCAAAGCCCGCGTTTCATATATAGAGGCACCCTTATGAGCACCACTAGCCTAGCGTGGGCAACTTTCGCCGTCAGGGGCTCCAGGAACGGGAGCGGGGCAGTCGGCCTCATGGAAGATCCCCACCAGACCCACGATACCTGTGATATCGACGGTCTCCAGGTAGCCAGAGGGACCCTGACCATCACCCCATCTGAACTCGGGGTCGGAGACCCATGAAGGGTCATCAATGTGCTCGTCGAAAACGTCACCGAGAAGGTTTTCGCAGGCTGCGCCGGTGAGTGCATCTGTGATGGCGTCACGGACCTTCTCCCTTGCCATCAACTTGATCTTCTCCCTCACGGTTTTGATGGACCACTCCTTGGTGAAGTCCTTGGCCACTTGCCTCTTGAGACGCCCTTTCATGCTCTGCTTGGCCGCCTTCTTTACGAAAGCCTAGCAACGGCTCACGACACTCCCTACAGCACATCAACCAATGTCAACGCCCAGTGCCCAAAGTCGCCCGAGTGGCCAAGTGGCCTTGGCCCAGGACGACGCAGCCCTAGTGACCAGGGACTTGCCGGCCGTCATCGCGGCCTTCTTCGCTGCGGCCTTCATGGCAGTCTTCGCCGCTGCCTTCGCGCCAGCCTGCGCACTCAAACGTTCCCAGAAACTGAAGATCTCCGAAGCACGGTCGAGCCCCAGCCTCTTGGACATCCAAGAATCGAGTCTTATCAAGAGGGCCAATCAGCCTTCGCGAAACCCGCCTTCGCTACAGCGGAAGTGCCCCCAGTGAAGACCACGGCCACGATGTCAAGGGCCATCTCCTTTTGCGACCGTTTCACCAGGGCCCCGCACTCAGCTAGCCCATGAGAATCATACACTGACTTTTACCCCGCCCGCAAGCCTCAAATCCACCCAGCCCCAAAACCAAAGCCCATCCCGACTTTGGCCCTTTGGCCCTTCCAAGCAGCCAGGACGGCCGCAGCCGCCTTGCCGTACTTGGCGGCCATGACCGAGGTGCAAGTCCCAGGCTCCACGCCTGGGCGCTAGCTCTATACGGGCTCCGGGATTTGGAGACGGTTTTCACTATCCATGGCCAGTTGAGAGCGCCGAGTGGCAATAACAGGTGCAACTCTCCTTGCCGATCTTAGCGCAATCAGTCCCACCGCTGAGCGCGCAGTACGTCTGAAAGGGATCAATGAATAGGTCCTCATGGGCCGGGCGTTGTTCGTCTAGGTTTTGCTTCTCAAGGCCCAAAGAGTTTGAGGAGAGCTGGTCAGAGGGCTCTGCGTGCGTGTGCAGGATGCTGGAAGAAAACGGCCAGCCAGAATGCAGCACACAAATCTAAGTTCAACACGAGAAACGGGCAAACGCAACCAAGAGAAGAAAACCTGCCTCTTCCCGTGCGTTGCCGGATGCCGCCATTTGCAGCAGCGTGGTGTTGCTCTGGAGCCGCTCCACCTTCGCCAGGAAAGGGCTTGACTCGCGCCTAGAAATCTGAGATCCCCGCGAGCTTGTGTGTGTGTGTGTGCGCTGTGCGCTGCGTGCGGTGTATGTGTGTGTGTGTGTATTGTGTGCTGCGTGCGATGTGTGTGTGTGTGTGTGTTGCGTGTTGGTGTGTGTGTGTGTTGCGTTGCGTCGCGTCGCGTTGCGTTGCGTTGAGGCGTGATGCGGTGAAGTGTGGTGTGTGTGTGTTGCGTGTGTGCGTGTCGTGTGTTGCGTTGTGTTGTGTTGCGTTGTGTTTGTGCTTGCGTTTGTGTTTGGGTGTGGGTTTGTGAATTTGTGTGTGTTTGTGCTTGTGCTTGTTTGTGTTTGTGTGTGTGTGTGTTTCTGTGTGTGTGCGTTTGTGTGTGTTTGTGTGTTTGTGTGTTTGTGCTTGTGGTGTGTTTGTCTGTGGTTGTGTGTGGTTGTGTATTTGTGTGTGTGTGTGTTTGTGTGTGGTTG